GTGAAGATGACTACCCGACGTATGTCTTCTGAGTGAAAGGATGACGAGGATGGTGCTACAACAGAGGCCGACGAGGAGCTGGACCTTGATGATCGTAAAAAGGCAGCAGCATTGCGCGCCATGAATGATGTCGCATCCTCTGGTGTCTGGATGGTGCCATCATGTGGTTCTGATCGTGGCCTAGGATGTTCAGTCTCTGGGTCAATGTCAGGATCAGGAGGATCCCATTCGTTGCCATCACGTTGCTGTCTTCTTCTACGGAGTCTGCGGACCAAATTTTGTTCGATTTCCTCTTGTGTCAGGGCAGAGGGGATGCGGATATGTAGGCCTAATCCATGGAAAATGGCAATGTTGGCACCGGCAGGTTGGATGTGGTGTCCAATGTGGACAGTGCAATCGCCTGCTCCTTGCGCTGCTCTTTGTTGGCAGATGGCATCTGCTCCGGCAAGATGGATAATCTGGTCGCACGAAAGCTGCAGTTCCGTAGAGTGAGCACTGTCAGAAAAGCGTGTCTCAGGATCCATGACCTGTACTTTTGAAATCAAACAGGCGGCCCTCTCAGGACTGGCATGTTGATGGACTATGACTGTGGCAGCAGTCGCAGGAAATGCAAACTTGGGAGGGTCTGGTCGAACGATGACAATGTCGATGGGTGCATCATGATCTACAAGATCTTCCCAAATAAATCTCACGTCCCTCTCCCATTCTGCCACTTCACTGTCAAATCGCAAAACTCTGGGTTCATCATGAAAACGATGGTGATGATGATTGATGAAGTAAGAGGTCACATAAACGATCTCATCTTCTTCTCCTGCATCATAATGCCCTTCTTGAATGCGCAAGTCCATGATCCCTTGCATCCATGTCGGCCTGCTCGGAAGATGGCGTGCGTACGTCTGACCAGCTCTGTCTGTGTGAGCAACAAAGCGTTGGTCTCTGTGGGAGCTTTCCGTGGAGTCAAAACTGGGGCAGCTCCACGGAGTCTGCCCGGTTGCACCAACCTCCAAAGGAACCTGAAGCTTGTACATCTCAAGACTGTCCTCTGTTCCAATCCACAATTCCAAATCATCTGCAAAACCCACATGCAGTGAAGTAGGACGGTTGGGTCTGGAACGAGAATGTGCAAGATCTGGACGCTCACTACATCGGGAACTGGTAGAGCTTGTCCATGGTATTGGAGGTGTGCAAAAGTGTGAGACTTCATTCTTGAGAATGGCGGCCTGTGCTTGTGCTTGCCATTCAGAAACAAAGGTCTCATTCACGATGGCTCGGTTGTTCCACTTCATCACGATGGCTGGGGTGGAACTGTCCCAATGCCTACAAAGCCCTAGGTCGTCATACGAAAAGGTCATGCACAACCGGGCTAGACAAAAGGCTGCCCTGAGGCGCCATTTGTGGTTTCTCCTTCCTCTGTTCCCATCGATTGATCTGGGACAGTCGTCCTTTGGCGCTTGGCTGCCTTTTCCTGGATCTCTATCGATTCTGCCTGCGCCTGTAATTGTTGAAGAGATGCTGTGAGATTCACCAAGCCTTCTTGTATTTTGCCTGACGACTTGTCGACACTGGCCTGTTCTCCTGTCAGCTCCTCGTCGTCGTCCTTGATCTCGATGGGTGTGATCTTGCCAGCTTCCTGTTGCGATTGTTCTGCTTGAACTTTGGCATTCATGAAGTTGGCATGGGCCTGTTGTATTCGCTCTTGTAGATCTCGTTCTTGCTGCTGAAAAAGGGATGTGTAGCCCTGCCATTGTTGGACCGCATCGGCAAGAAAATGCTTCCATGATGCAATCAAATTGTATCTGGCTTGAAGAGCTTCTTCTACATCCTTTCTCGCATAGCCCAGGGTGCGCACTGCGGAGTGCAATTCCTTTGTAGCTTGTGCCCCTTCCTTTTTTGACATTTTCTGCACTTTTTGCCTCATATCTGGAGGCAGTTCCATTTGGCGTGCTCTGACCATCTCCATGAACTCCTTCTGTTCCGCATCGACGTACAGATGTGGCGGCATCGCCTGTTGCAACGTGGGTGCCATCGGTGCCACTTGCACTGGCATCTGAGGAGTTTGTTGTTGCTGAGGTGGTGGCATTGCCATGGGCATCATCGGTTGCATCTGTTGCTGATACATCGTCGTGGACGGCCCATGTTGTGCATAGCCTGTCCATGGAGTCATAGGTGGCGGCAATGGTGGCATCGGCCCTTTGCCTTGGCCTTTTCCAAAGTATGGATTGGGCGGAGGATGCGTTGTCTGCCCTTTGCCGTCGTAGTAGTTCTGTTGTCGATCCTGCGCACTCTTGGATCTCCTGCGACCCTTCGGCGTGTGAGTCCGGCTTTTGGACCTGGTCCTGCTCCATGTGGAGGAGTCCTGAGAGTTTCCCCAGGTGTCTTGAGACCATGTGGCATTCCCATCTTGACGAGCTCCGGGATTGTGGACATAGGAGCGGTCGATGGTGCTTTGCCAGGGCAATTGACATACTGGGCAATACTCGGCTGAGCGTTTGCGCAGTTGTCGGCAGCCCCCACAACGCCATGGTGCATTGGTCGTCATTGTTGCAGCGATCCTGGCAAGGAAAGTTGCGTCTCTGGAATGATGATTCTTCAACACCGTGAAGATTTTGTAAATCCTGTGCGAAGTCAGCTGAATCAGACCACGTCGGTGCAGGTACCACTGCCTCCGTGCAGTTGCTCGAGCACGGCGTAAGGCTCTTCTTCGAGTGGCCAGCGTCGTGATAGCAATTGCCGTAGGACTCTTCAGCAAAGATGACAAAATTGATCAAATAGGTGAAGACCACAAAGACAAAGAAGCACAAATTGCCCATGTAAAGCCCGATCACGAACAAATACACAGGAGAGATGTGCAAGAACGCGTCTGTGCAAGCCCGATGGTCAGGTTATACACAGCAAAGTCGAAATCCACAAGCAAATTCCAGGGTTAGACCAGTTCAGAAAAGGCAAGGGATGTTTTGCGAGTACCCGGGTGTTTTGTGGCTCCGGGACGCCAAAAAGGATCAATCCAAATATGGGAGTGAAAGGTACCACGAAAATGGAAAACCAAATAATCACAGGCCAAAATGAAGATCCCAGTAAGGCTAGCACTTGCTGCCCGCGGCAAAGATTCGCGTATGCCGCTAAGGTTAGCGGGTGACAAGGAACGACCGTGGGGCTGACCTTGACCCGAAACCTTGAGCCAAAATGGCTACGGTATATATGTATATATGTATATATGTATATATGTATATATGTATGTATGTATGTATGTATGTATGTATGTATGTATGTATGTATGTATGTATGTATGTATGTATATACATTAAATTTACAATACATGTCCATTGCCCGTTGAATATCTCGTTGTTGCTGGATGCATTTCCTTTTTTGAACGCGTTGGTCTGTACATTATCCATTGGATTGTGCATGATCTCAATCCATGAACTGGGAAATCCTGCAAAATCCGTTTAATGACAATTCACATATTTATCAGGTTTCATTGAAATATCAGGTTTCATTGAAATATCAGGTTGATACACCTGCAAAATCCTGAACTGTATTTAACCAGCCAAGTGACAATTCACTGCTATTGTCGCCCGACATTGACACGACAGGTGCCCGCGTACTAAAACGCGTCAAGGACGGACAAACCGACCCTTCTGGAGCCCAAATCTGCCATGGGGAGTCAGGATCCAAGGGGATTCCAACCCCTGGCAAGGGGACTAGACCTGGCTTGTAGATGTATGTGTGTATATATATATGTGTTCTAATATATATATATATGTATATTTATGTATATATGTATATATGTATACACACACACTAAAATGTATGTATCAATATATTGCACATCTATATATATATATGCTGTACATGTACATTACATATACGTAGTATATTACATATATATAATATGTATATTACACACATATATATATATACCTCATATATATATCACATATATTTATACCATATGTATACATATAATTATATATCAAATATATACATATATAAATTGAAATATATATATGTACTACATATATATATTCTTTATATATTACATATCTATATATTCTTTATATATTGCAAATATAAATATATAGATATTCTTTATATATTACATATATATATTATATATATTATAAATATATATATATCATGTATATATATACCACATATAGTATATTACATATATTTCAATTACATATGAATATATATATATGACATATATTATAGCACAAATATGTATATATATATATTACATATATATTATTACATATGTATATGTATAATATATTACACACATATATATATATATTATAGTACATGCATATATATATATATAGAGTACACGTATATGTAGATAAATAGATAGATAGATAGATAGACAGACAGACAGACAGATAGACAGATAATAAATCATAAAACATAGACACGCACATGGATATTAGATCGTATATCATACACATACAATTATAGTCGATTTCCTATTTCGGGATACCGACATTTGCAATTTCTCTCAAGACAAACTCGCGATGGTACCCTGCCGTGACTCGACGGCCCGGCGTTGATGTTTTTCTTGGGAGATGGACCAGAATTCTACCACGGAACCCATAGGAAAACCTCAATAGTTCTCGGGAACAATGGGAAATCATCGGAATATGAGTTTGGATTGAGTCTGGATACATAACTAACATTGACCAACAATATCAATGATGTGTCAAAAAATGGCTATGGCGAATGGGGAAGATGACCGTTTCAAACCGTTGTGGGGATAAGAAACGTCCACCAGTCCAGTGGAGGGATAAGAAACGTCTAGTGATCATTAGTGATCTAGTCCAGGACTACTATACTGGTTGGTGGTATACCTACCCCTCTGAAAAATATGAAAGTCAGTTGGGATGATTATTCCCAATATATGGAAAAATAAAATTCATGTTCCAAACCACCAACCAGCTAATAATAGTTTTGCATAGTTTTGCTACTATAATTTGTCCAACTTCCAGGATCTTCCAGGTGTTTTTTCTCAGTTTTTCGCCGGCCACGACTCGTCTGTGCAACTGGGCTTCGCCCAGTGCAGGAAAAGCCGAGACGACTGAGCGCAGCGATGAACTCCAGTCCTGGGTGACCCAGGAGCTGTTTTCCATGGAAACTTCACGAGTTTCGTTGGGGCAGAACCTCGAACAATGATCTGGGTAAATTATAATAATATTTCACTAACCTGAATTAAGGCCATATGTGGATGATTTCCCTTACTAACCATGATTCCAGGGTTTGGTCGCAGTGAGGTCGTTATAATTTACCCAGAAAGATGGTTTCATGGGCCAAGTTATGAAGTCCAAATTGGACTCACCAGGTCTGCACTGGCTGCCCCATTCCGCAATCTGTTATCCGAGTCTGTCGTTGCACTGGTTGTGAAACATCTTGCCAACATGGAATATCTTGGAGACATGATAAATCAAATTTGCTGCACCCAAGCTAATTCTGTGGGTAGTATATCAATGTATCTTCACTTATCAAAACTACAAAACGATATGTTCACCGTCCATAATTAAACCAGCTGCTTTCCTATCCTAATCGCCATATCCTAGAAATGGACGGGAAAATCTGCAGGAAACCTTTTTTTAATTTGAGGATTTTCAAACCGTGGTGTCCCATAGATTTCCCTTAAACCAAACCAGAAAATATATTTCTTGTCGTCAATATCTTCTCATTTCTCGGTCCACGCTATGAGTTTTTGTTTTACTGTAACCCACTGGATGACTCCCCAAATGCCGTTACTTAAAGAGCCAATTCTAATGGCAAAACCCTCCCTGAAAATCCGTTGGTTTACGCCAACAAAATAGTAGCTGTATATTCTATGCGCTGCGAATTCCGAACTTTTTGTGTTATATATTCATGTGTCATAAACTTTGGTTGATCATTTCACCATCTTTATTGATTGGCTCCCTCACCCTTCACCACATGGCTGGCTTATGGGAATTTCCATATTGGCCTATTATCATCCTTATATCAGTATATAGTAAATATGGCAATATCACCATTGTATAACCATTATCATGGACTTGCTTTAAGGAACCACCAAAAAACAAACAAATACTCCCTATAGATTCCCCAAGTAGTGGATTTCCCATGGAGAAAATAAAAAAAATGCAAGTTATATAGCCATTAATATCCATTAATTGCTATCATGTGGCTGAGAAACTCAATTCGTAGCTCCGAAGCGCTTCGTCCCAGTGGCAGCTCCTAAGCCGCTGCGTTCCCAGCTACGGCTGAAGGGTGTCCTCACCGGGCGAAGGGAACCATGTCTGAAAATGGGGAATTAAATGCTGGTTGTTGGTTTCAACCTCTCTTTCAAATGAGATTATTGTTCCCAATATATGGAAAAATAAAATTCATGTTCCAAACCACCAACCAGAATATATTCAATCCCTAGTTATGGCAATGTTTATCATGCTTATCGTGAGAATGAGCTTCGAACCCACTGGAATTGAGGGAGTGTCCGGATTTTCACCAACCAAGCCACTGGAAATCGGCACTGGTAGCGCTACTCTGTGGCGTTGTTTTTTTCCCACCAGTGGAACCAGTTTGAAACTCTGGGGTAACTGTGCATGCAATCTTGGACTTACATGGAGGTTTCCATAAATGAGGCTACCCCAAATGGATGGTTAATGGACAATCTGACAATCCTATTAAAATGGATGAGAACTGGTACCCCCATGACTTAGGAAACCCCCACATTCACAGGTTTAACAGGGACAAACTAGACGACGGATGGCCCGAGAGCGTAGAGGAGCAGGGTCTTCTCTTGTTAGTATGGAGACACCATATTGGAAAACAATATATTAAAGATGTGTTATAGGCAGACGAGAAGAGTAGTATCAAGACAATATAGCACAAGTACAAGACAATAGTTTGCATCGTATCTTTCAAATAGCTTTTCACACACAGAACTTTTTACAGAGAGACGCTTTTACACACAGGTGCTTTTATACACAGACACTTTTACATACGGAAGCTTTTGCGCACAGACATTTTTACACACGGAAGCTTTTACACACAGACGCTTTTACCCACATAGGCTTTTACACACAGACTCCTTTACACACAGACGCTTTACACGCAGACGCTTTACACGCAGACACTTTTACACGCAAACACTTTTACATACAGACGCTTTTACACACAGAAGCTTTTACACAGACGCTTTTACACGCAAAAGCTTTTACACAAGAAGCTTTTACACACAGAAGCTTTTACACACAGACGCTTTTACACACAGAAGCTTTTACACACAGAAGCTTTTACACTCTGACGCTTTTACACACAGACGCTTTTACACACAGACACTTTTACACACAGACACTTTTACACACAGGTGCTTTCACACACAGACAGTTTTACACACAGACACTTTTACACACAGACACTTTTACACACAGACGCTTTTACACACAGACGCTTTTACACACAGACGCTTTTACACACAGACGCTTTTACACACAGATACTTTTACACACAGACACTTTTACACGCAGACGCTTTTCACACAAACGCTTTTACACACAGACGCGTTTACACACAGACGCTTTTACACACAGGAAATCGCAATTTGCTTCAGTTTTGGGCGATCGAACCTCATTTCATGCGAAAGGGTCGCGATTGGACAAGAGAAATTACAATTTCACTTCAGTTTTTGGCGATCGAACCTCGTTTCGTGCGAAAGGGTTGCGTGGGGCAACTTGAAATCGCAATTTTACCTCAGTTTTTGGCGATCGAACCTCATTTCGTGCGAAATGGTTGCGCCGGACACTTTGAAATCGCAGTTTTACCTCAGTTTTTGGCGATCGAACCTCATTTCGTGCGAAATGGTTGCGCCGGACACTTTGAAATCGCAATTTTACCTCAGTTTTTGTTGATCGAACCTCATTTCGTGCGAAAGAGTTGCGTCAAGCAACTTGAAATCGCAATTTTACCTCATTTTTTGGCGATCGAGCGAAACGGTTCGCGGGACAAGTGAAATCGCAATTTTACCTCAGTTTTTGGCGATCGAACCTCATTTCGTGCGAAATGGTTGCGCCGGACAGTTTGAAACGCAATTTTACCTCAGTTTTTGACAATCGAACCTCGTTTCGTGCGAAAAGGTTGCGGGGGCAACTTGAAATCGCAGTTTTACCTCAGTTTTTGGGCGATCGAACCTCATTTCGTGCCAAAGGGTTGCGCGCGACGACTTGAAATCGCAATTTTACCTCAGTTTTTGGCGATCGAACCTCATTTCGTGCGAAAGGGTTGCGTTTCGTGCCGTCTTGTTGGCACTGCCCCTGCCCCCGCCTTCAAGAGAGAAATAGAAAAGAAAGAGAAGGCAAGAGGGCAAGAGGGCAAGAGGGCAAGAGGAGAAGATATGAGATGAGAAGATGTGAAGATGAGAAGATGTGAAGATGAGAAGATGTGAAGATGAGAAGATGTGAACATGAGCAGATGAGAAGATGAGAAGATGTGAAGATGAGAAGATGCAAAGATCTGAGGATGAGAAGATGTGAAGGTGAGAAGATGTGAAGGTGAGAAGGTGTGAAGGTGAGAAGATGAGAAGATGTGAAGATGAGAAGATGTGAAGACGAGAAGATGTGAAGATGAGCAGATGATAAGATGAGAAGATGTGAAGATGATCCCTAACCTTAATAGGGGGTCAAGCCAGGGGGGGTTTAGCCAGGAAAGGTTTTGAATACTGTTCAAACAGAGGAAAAAAGAGAAAAAAAGAGAAAAATAAGAAATAATAAGTTTTTGATAGGTTTTTTTTAAAGATATTTTTTAAAAAAAAATGAATTAACTTTTACATTAAGTCATTTTATTTCTTTTTTGGTCAGGGAGTCAGGTGCACTTTTTCATTGTTAAGCTTCAGGTTTTTAAGACATTTATCAGAGACACCGTATTCATTGGCTCAAGTCATTTGATTTGACTACATTTAGACAGTGATTTCTCAATTATGACGACTACAGAGCCAACCTCTGCATTGCTGATGAAACCTGAGTGGGCCCACGAGATCTTGCACAATGGAAAAGACCTGGAACTCAGGTCAAAGCCTTGTCATTCAAAGGTGGGCCTGGTGGAATGCTCCTGGGAGAGGTGACAATCGTTGGTTGTTTTTTGCTGGCTCATGTTCGAGATGGTCCTTTGGAAGATCATGAACCTCGTTCGTTCAGATTGCGCCGACCGCCATCATGTCCATGATTGGATTGTCATTGACTACAAAGACATTTGGACTTGGGAACATAAAAATCCAATTGTCTACGGGACTCCAAAGCCATATTTCCATCCTCTGGATGCAAAACCACTTTGCAAGCGTGATCCGGAACAACGCATTAAACGTGTGGCCGAGAAGGCGGCTAAGAGGAAGAGACTTTCAGTTTGACTCACTCTGAGAAGTCAATGAGGCAAACACTTTAAATCGAACAACATCTTGCATGATTCAATTTCTTTTTTGACAGATGGATGTTAATTTTCCAGTACTTATCATTCTTGTTGTGATTAAGGAATCTTTGACTCGTTGACTCAGCAATGTAATGTGTGTGATGATTGTCCACCCGTGTGACATGATTCACCTGCCAATCCACAGCAGATTCGTTCAGATTGTTGTGCCTTTTGATTGATGAGTCATTTTGACAAGCCTGCCTGAGACGTTACACATTTGTCCAGAACTCAGTTCTGATTCAATGATTGACAAGTCAAGCCAAGTCATCACAACGTCGCTTAGTCAGTACGAGTATCCGGTGACAGAAAGCTTAAGCCGCCATCGGTTCGAATCTTGACTTGCGTAGGGCGACGCACTGTGACTGTCGGTGAATCAGATAGCACGGGGTTGTTGACTGCCAGTGGCTCAGAATGATTGACTTTGACTAGACCTCATCATGATTGATTGAAAATGGGGGGATGGTCCCCGGGGGTTGGAAATGAATTGATGAAGATCATTGCAGGATCATGACAGAATCCGATGAATGGCTAGAGCGTAAAAACCATAGCAACTCGGCAATATCAGCAGAATGAAGTAACGTGAGGATTTCGCGTAGATTTCTTTGGCCATCTCGCAGAGTCGCAGACTCACTACCATCAATCCTTTTTGCCTTGTGGCTTGTGAGATCATTGCCCATCTTGTGGCCTCATTCTCCAGCAGCCAGTGGCCATCGTTTTTTGCCTTGTGGCTTGTGAGATCATTGCCCATTTTGTGGCATCATTCTCCAGCAGCCAAGTGCCCGGGATGCCAATGCCGAATCATTGGCCAAGTGGTGTTGCCGCACAGTCCAACAATCCGAATTTCCTGGACTTAATTAATGCAGTTTGACTTTTTGTTTGTTTTGGCTTTCAAAATGATTGACTGTTGATTGGTTACAATGCCAGATTTCCAAACCGTGTCCCTGGCAGTTTGGTTGCATTTGGAATCCCTTTTTTCCTCAGAGTTGATTCGGCAAAAATGAATGATAAAAACAAATGCCAAAATGAAGTTGCAGCGCTGTCTTTTGACAATGTCGAGGGGGGCCAATTTCAATTACAATTTGCTAAACCCAGCTGACATTCCCGAACCCAATCCGGCACTTTTAAACTAGGTTATTTTGCCCCAGTTTTAGCCAATGCCGACATATAATGATCCAAGGGCGCGGCCGAACACTGCGTGACAAGTATAACAAATTAATTATGATTCCTTCATTAAATAAAAAATATACGGTGGATTTCAAGAAGCAATGGCTATCTCTGAATCTGAAATCCCCGCTGTCCCCATGACCGAGTTGGCAAAAAGCAAGTATTTTTCGCGGCCACTGGCCAGTGAAAATGTTTTGTTTAAATGACTGGCAACGAAGGCAATTTCAAACCCTTGAAATTCCTCATTGAATGATCCCTCCAATCCCACAATTCCCACCTACAGGTGGGTTGGGTCCCTCAGTTTGTGGATCCCTCAGTTCCCACGATACCTAGGTGAAAAATATGTTCTATGTGGAAGGTTTTTTTTGCAAATTTGGCAAAAAATCTGGCTGACCGATCGCAAATTTTGACAGTTAATCTTGAAAAAATGTGATCGGGTGACCAGGTTTTTTCGAGGTTTTGATCAAAAATAATTGTGATGAAACCGCCACACAATTTTTTCCCGCGAAAAAATGCACCCAAACTTGACAAAAAAAAAATTGAAAAATGTTGTCAACCGACCACATTTTTCAATTTTTTTTGTCAAATTTTGCGCTGAGTTGACCATAAGTTTTCGTAAATTTTCCAAAATTCCACCCAGGGGATCTTGAAA